ATCAGGGATGAGACAGAGGTGAAATAGGATAACGGAATATCTACTTCTTGGCCATTTGGTAGCAGGAATTCAGCTTTATCTTTATCAGTACCACTCCACTGTTGCATAAAATATTGCATCTCTTTGCTGTTTTTCACAGGATTAAGCACATACATCTCAAGTTTGCCAACTCCCATTTTCTGAAATAAAATGATGGGGTCAATGGTATTTCCTACGTTTCTAAAAAGAGGTTCTGGTTTCATAGACAACTTATTTAAATACTGGAGAGTAAAACAAGCTTCTTCTACACTCCTTTTTACTCTAAAGTTAGGATCAAGGTTCTTCAGGTTTTCAGGTACATTGAGGAATACCACTCCTAAATCAGGTGAGATCAGATTTTTCATCCAGTCACTGTTGGTCGTAGACCCTTGGGACTGTTCCTCTTCTAATTCAGCTATCTTTCGCTGAAGCATGCTATTGATTCCTGGCAGGTTATCATCTCCAATGTGAGTGAGCAGAATGGAATCGACTCTGTCCAAATGTCGGATAAGTTTCCAGAAGCAAGATTTTCTTTCGGATCCTCCATTGATAAGCATGTTAAATCCATTCACTGCAAACAGTGCAGAGTCCCCTCTTCCACCCGGAAAAATGTAACAGCAGGGTTTGGAGAGTTTCAAAAAGCCTCCTGAGGTTGGAGGTTCCAAAATGTCAAATGGTGATGGCACTTCTACTGATTCTGACAGATATTCTGTGAATTCAGAGAGTCCTTCCATTTCGGGCAATATGGAAGCTGAGTTGAGTTTAATGTTAATAAAGTCTTGAAGGTTGTGTCTGTCAAGGTTGGAATTTTTCCAGTCCCCTTCCTCAGGGCAGAAGAGAGTTAAGCTGGCTTTGTTGGCAGGGTGTGTAGTGCTCAATAATTCACCGATCTATGGATGTAAAACAAAGACAAAAAGATGCATGTAAATTCATTTTTTTTAATGACAATTAATGTCAAAATACAATATCCCCTGTCCAGATAAAACCTTTTTCATTCACTTTGGCACTGGTGAGCACCAGTCACAGAAGCTAAGGGAATCTGTTGCTATAATTAGTCCACTGCTGTATTTTTTTAAATACAAAGGAGCAGCTAATTCTTGTTTCCTTCCTCAATGCCTAAAGGAGGAAAGTACTGCAAGGTTTCCCTTTTCCCTCCTCCATCCTTTTACAGCAAGCTTTTATGAGGACTATGGGGTTAACACTATCAGCAGTGTCACTGTGTTTGCCATTGGCTCACGAGTCTCTACACTGCCCCAAACCACCCAGAAGAGCTGGCCAAACACCTTTGGGAAACAGCGCACCCTCAGGCAACACCAGCAGCCTAGGGGAGGCCAGTGCCCCCCGGGGCAGGTCCCCTTCTTCACCCCTCTCACACAGGCTGTACTCCCCAACAGGAGTTGCTATTTCAGTTCTTTCTGCAGTCTGGCTCCTGAAACAGCAGGAAGTTAGGTAAATGCAGCCCACTTCTATTTGATCTTGACAAAGACACCACCAAATTACGTAAATTTCTTCTTTAAAAAAAGTAATTCAGGCATAAAATGTCAGTACAAAATATGCCTACACAGCATCCTGCAAAATACCACAACCTTCTTTGTAGAGACTCAGTTGTTAGTTCAAGCTGTAAGAACATTCTCCATAAAGATGATTTAGATCATGTTACAGCTGAATAATTTGAAAGTCTTGGACCACAAACTGAATCATCAAAAGAAATGGACACACACACAATGTTATGCATGATTGCAGAAGATCACTGTTGGCCTCTGTATGTGTGTGTCTAGATTTCCTTTTTCTATGTTACATAATTTTTATTCAGCATCTACCAAAAATAAAACTCAATAAAGGTGCAGTGTCTGTTATCCAAACAAAAATAATCCATCCAATACCAAAATAAAGCAGAAAACAAATATTTGTTATGTTTCTTTGTCAGCCTTACTTAGTATCCAAACCATCTGACAGGAGTATAAATAAATCTCACCCAAATGTCAGACATGGCTTTGTCTGGAAAAGAGCAGAGAAAAAAACAGAACAGGACAAAACAAAAGAAAACAAAAGGAGCAAATGCAGAAAAGGATAAAAGATAAGGAAAATAGGAGAGCCATTCCTATTGTTTATCGCAGAAATAAGAAAAAAGAACAGAAAGGCAGTTAAGAGAGGACAGGCATCTTCTGTTAACGCTCAGCACAGACAACAGCTCTGAAATGCATTTAGGGTCTTGAGTGTACTCCTTACGCCGTATCTCTGGTAAGGGCTGAAAACATGTTATTAGGGAGAGACAAAAGTAGGACAAAGATCTCTTCGTTTGGATGAATAAATCAAAGTCTGCTACACACATAAAAAGATAACTTGAGTACAGACTGTTTCTCATGTAAGGCCAATTTTCTAGCAAGATGGAATGCTAATATATGGGGCCACTGAATATATTGGGTCAAAGTTTGGGTTAGTCCCAAGCCATTTATAAAATACCATACTTGACTGTCTGCTTCATGCTTTTAAACTCTGTTTGCTCCTAAAAGTTGGCATGCCTAATGCAGACAGTGTTAAGCCACTAGTAGCACAGGCCATGGAAAAGCTGGTGAAAAACTATTGCAAAGATTGTACCTGTTAGGAATAAATGCCTCAGAAAAGCATTTAATGGATTTGTATTTCAAATGATAACACAATGAAGCACTTTCACTGCCTCAACTATTCGGTAATGCTTTTGGACATCTCAGTTACATTATCACCACTGCATCAACTTCAGCAGTGACTGGGAAGGAAGAACGAGGCCCACTGTTGCTCTTCATAGGTTTCGATCCCAATACTAGCCCCAGTTACTTTCATACAGTCTCCCACAGCCTAAAAGAGACCGCAGAGGAGTAACTGTTTGTTGTCTTTTGATTGAAGGTCACCCTGGGACCAAGGAAGTGTCTTTGTTTGTGAACCTGGGCATCTTTTGAAGCACTCAGATACATCTGTCGAGGAATTCTGAAGTTTTAAAGGTGTTATGGCTGGTGATGGCAAACAGCAAGTTGGCTGCACAGAGCCATTTCATTGGCAAGCTGTTGCTGCAGAGGCTGGGGGATGCAACATCTTCAATGTTCTGGCACAGGAGAAGGTGGAAACAACATTTTTAGGCATTGCCAGCAGGGAGTTGAAGAAGCCAGGGAATGGAAGTCTGAATTGGACTTCATGAGAGAATCTCCCAGGTGAAGGAAAATACTTATTTACCTATTTGTAAGCACATCCCATTACCACAGTGCAGGTTTGGTCCAGAAAAATAAAAACAGACAGAGAGCAGAAATATTAACTTCAACTAACATTCATCAAACTTCACTGGGTTAATGGGTCAGCAGAGCACAGGAATTTATGCTTCTAACCACTAGTGTGAAAACTACTAACCACTTTTTTCTAGCACTGATTTCTATCCTTGTTTCATATTTGTGGTCTGCTAAAAATTTCTCACTAATGGTATACTGACTCTTTAAGAAATGTCGCATACACTGCCTGCAGCATGGTAAATACAGTCTTTGATTGCATAGTTACCTTTTGTGAAATCTTGTAGAAGCAGTGAACAAATGTCCAAGGCTTCAGAGACAATAAGTTGGAAGGGACCACATTAAAACCACCATGCTGCTGGCTTGTGAGCGTGCCGCCCGCAGCAGAGACCAGCCAAGCGAGCCTTCACTGCGACAGCAGAGTGTGCTCTGCACGTGCACCAGTGCTGGCCGTCCCTTAGCTGCTTTCACTCCTACGTCAACATCACAGCTCCACTCCCCAGCCAACACTTTGGCTTCTTAACTGCAATCACAGGATTTGCCCCATTTTTTTCAAAAAGCAATTATGTCTTGCTAACCAGCGAGAGATGCAAGAAGCTGCACTTTGCAATTTTACAGAACTGTAACTACTCGAGCTGGTGACTTCTAGGGGTCACGTCCCTTTCAGAGGCCAGGGATTCAGCTCCTGCCCTAGCTGTACCACCATATGCTGAACTAAAGGCTTTGAGAATAGGATCGAACAGATACAATAAGGTTACACTGGGACTCCTGCAAACTCTGCGTTTTCAGACCTGAACCTTCAAAATCTCACTCCACTGAAATGCTTGTAATTAAATTTGGAAACTAAAATCCCAAGGATGCAGCCATATAGTTCATTTAAATATATACTTTACACAGCAGCCAAATTAAGTGTGACAGCTTGTTTACCATGGGTTCCTGCCCTATGGGAGCTTTCAGACACAGTACATTAAGCAAGGCAACAAAATAACAAGTCATGAAACAAACAGCATTAAATAGTGGTAGACTTCATGGTTTGGCACAATATTTCTGGTATGTGAAAACCACAAGATTTACAGAACTCATTGGTGAAATTTTAAATACTACAGCAAAGAAGCCAAGCAGGTAGGTGGTAAAAAAACTACAGCCATTTCAACAGACAGCCTCTGTCTTATTTAATGTCACATATCACTTAGCTGCCACCAGGCAAGAACTTGGTGTCAGATTCAATTTGACTGCTTTGTATGTGCACCTTAGATGAACAACCTGTATATTTTAAACACAGAATTATCTCCTGCCGTTGTTTAAGGGTTCCTTGGTTTTCTGTTTCTGAAAGTTATAATTTAATTCCCCAAATGAAAATGTTACTCTCTTGTTAACCAATTTACATCAAAACTCAAGTAAATTAAATAAATGATTTGAAGGAAAGTCCGTAACAGAGAGTAAGGAGCAACAACATCAAGCCATCACTGCAAACTCTCAGTTAATAGAGATGGCCATTTTTAGTCTTCTAAAAACCTGTGCCCTCACATGACAACGTACGGAAGACACTTTTCAGTACACACCTCTTGATCCGTGAAGATCTCAATGAAGTTCTGGAAGGAGAAGGACCCTGACTGAAGAATGAGTTCTCCTGTGTTTTCAAAGCACTGTCCAGTGAGCACAAGGAGCTTGTGTCTTGCAGCATCTGTGATCATTAAACGCACCTACAGTGAAGAAGAGAAGCACATCAATAGTGAGAGTTAGCATGCATTGCTATATTTTTCTGAGAATACGCTGTTTACCTTGCCTAATTTAAAACTCACTTTGCACGAGAGTCTCGCAGGACTGACGAAATATTATCTAGTTACAGTGCTGTTTACCAAAGACAATGAGGAAGGAGCAAAAGGGAGAAGAGGGGGCACAAGAAGTGATTAGCGAGAAGGTTCTGTGAATAAACTAAGGCATGGAAAAAAGAGCAAGGAGCAGAAGAGAATAAAATTTGAATGACAAAATAGTAATTGCAATGAACAAACATATTCCTGGTATAACTCTTGGTGGCTGTTAATAGCGCTGTATCAGGGCCACCTTGGCCAAATGTCCCCCACGTGGTAATGAGGGACAACTGTGTTTGTCAGCCTTAGAGCCTCAATTTTTGGAAGGCTATTCTTCTTTTCCCAAAGTGTGGCACTGCTTGCCATTTAGTTGCAAAAATGTCACTGAAAACTTAAAAGAACAGCCACAAATCAAACAGAAAAATGGCACATTTGGACTGCTGTTCTGTTGTAACTTGAATCATCTACAAAGTTAAAGGACAATTCAGCTTCACCACAATCACGAATTTGAACTTCAAGCACTCAGATACAGTCATACGCACCATTTGCATGTCATGATGTCACTAACTATGGACACTAAAACTTTTAAAAATGTGCCAGCACAAGACCTTTTTCAAATCTCATGAGTAAATTATGTGGATGCATGACAGCTCCAAGGAGATTGTTGCTGACAAATAACCTTCTTCTGCATTTTGAAATACCTCCTAAATATTTCAAAGTTTATTCTCTTTACTTTACTTGACCCTCATTTACAGCTAATAATTCCTGTTTCTCTCCAGAGGGAAATTTACTTGAATACTAAATAAAATCCATGTACCTAGAATTCTTCTTTTGGCTGAATTCAACCTAAATCCAAACAAAATCTTTTCAAGATTCAGCATTATTAAATAAACTCTTTGAAAATATTTCCAAGGTCTCGTCCAAACTGAAAATCAATTCAGATTAAGGTAAGGTATGAACTTCAAGTGCAGTAATTCCTCCATTCAGGGAGGATTAAGTTAAACCAGAACAGGACACTGATTCCAGAATAAGACTATCCGTATATTAAACTAAATGAGAACAGTTCATCTGGAACAACTCCACATGTAGATATCGCATGCAAACTCCATCTCCATGGAGACAATATAATCACCTCAGCTCTCCTAGTAAGCCACTCTTTCAAATTTATATATTGATTGTTAAGCAATCAATTGTTCTAAATAATTCCCTCTCACGCCAGGAAGGCTGAGCCGGGAAGGCTTGACCTAAATCTCTGCTCAACAACCAAGATTTCTAGTACAAGTAGAAAACGGCCACTGAAGAGTATGGCTCTGAAAGACGCTCCCAACTCTACCGCAACTTCATTTTTGTTATTAAATAAGTGGCCTTAACTTTGAGCGGCGGAAAGTTCCTTTAATTAAAAGTAGGCCTAAATGCTGGTTTATCGCTAATTGTACTAGATGATTAAAAATGCAACAATATCCTTGCTGGATCAAGTCAATCTATTTCTATTTCAAACAAGAACGTAGATAAGTGCAGCTGGCTGTCTGATGTGTGTTGCTGAAATCTCGTCTGTTTTAGTTGTATTAAAACCGTAAAAGAACTGGCTTCCTCTTCTATTTTTTTGTCTCATTGCTGGCAGCAGTTCTGGGCAGTCTGCCAACCTATGTATAAAACCACCAGCTCTTCCAACAGCAAAATTACTTCCTGACTTGTGAATCACTGATATGTGACTGCCATATAATTCCCCTTCAACCTATTTTATTAATTGATGGTGAAAGAGGCTCCGCAGAGCTAGAAAACTATGGTAGGGAAAAAAGCAAATAAATGCTTGCAGGTTACAGAGCATAATATACGAGATACATGCAAGAACTTTGAGAGACATAGAAATTGTGTGTCTGGGTATAATGAAGGCTTCCTGGGGGACTACCAGAATTTTGCCAGTTGATTTCAAGATGATTACATTTAAGAAGAAATGTGGTAAGATGATCGTTCTGCTCAACTTTACCCTTGGTTTAAGTCCCAAATTGTTAAAAGTAAGTGAACAGCAAGAGGTAGGTAGCCTCAGTCAAAACTGAGCTAAACACAGATTGTGAACAGAGACAGGAGAGTAAGGAGATCAGAAGTTTCCAAGATTTACGGTATAATGTGTTAGACCAATTGAGTGGAGCCTTCTGAAAAAGGAAGCAACTGTTCGTGGAGTTTTCAGAAACTTGCTTTCTTTGGGCAGCTGTGATCTCTCTCCCTTTGGGCTTCTCTCTTTTCGGAAATATTTGGCAGATGGCTGAACACGACCGAAGCCTTGGGTAGAATCATGCTCTAACAACCAACAGTATATGGCTATTACCAGCCACATTAGCAGCACTGGAATTTAACATCTTTGCCTTTGTTTTTTCTGAACTGACAGATTCAATTTCCTCTTCTGATGAAGTAAGAAGACCATAGTATATCACTGTCTCCCCAGATGCAGCCTGGAAAACTCCTGAGATGAGAAACTAAATTTCCTACTTGTCTTAATGGGCAAAGCATGTCTATTCCAACTCCTGATTAAATTTTCCTGCCTCTTTCTTATCTCCTTTTTTGGCTTTTGTCCAGTGAGAGTCTGGCTTAGCCAGCCAAGGTAAATCTCAGCTTGTAACTTCTGGCTGTGACCAGCTTGGCAAGATGAAAGCAAAGCAAAGATTGCCTCCCAAAGACTAGGGGGAGGAAATTAACAGTAACCTAGCCAACCATCTCCCAGAGCCAAAGGAGTAAAGCCAAGGTTCAGAAGTCATTAATCGGCTTCAGACCATGTGCTTCCACATGGTCATCCATCAAAGAAACGACAAGCAACAGCAACAGAAACAGCACTTCCCTACTTTTAGTCATTCTTTCTGCTCCCGCACACGCACGCCTTTGCAGCTCTTTCTTTATTCTGAAAGCCACCGTGGATGGGATATTAATGAAGAACTTCAGAGCTGCCACTTAGCTTGCTCCTTACCAAGTACCAATGCAATGTCAGAGATTTGCAAGTACACTGTTACAGTGAATGAGCTGCTGTCAATTAAGATGACTTGCTTAATTCTTAAAACTTTAAACCTATCACTTGTTTTTAGTGTTTTTCCTCCTATTTGTGTTTAATATTACCTAAGGTTGATAAAAACTAGATTCCTGAGAAAGTACTAGAAGCAGGGCCACTTCATTTCCCAACAGAAAGCTTACGCTGCCAGTGCTTTCCAACATTGGCTAGCAATGCAATTATCCCTATTTTTTCAACCTTCAGAGTCTTACTAGCTAAATTTCTCTAATTCGTCTTCCAACTGCGTTCTCAGTTCTTTAACTCTCTTCTAGTGAGTTCATGAGGAGCTGGCACTCCCTCTCTAGGGCACTCTCCGCAGCCCATTTATCAAATCATATTTTTTTTGAGGGAAAGATAGATCACATAGATCTATGCAGAATGACCATCATATAGATGGCAATTCCTCCCAAATTTCTAAATTTTTGTCAGGTGACCTGGTTTCTTTTCAGGCACTTTTTCATGTTGAAAACGGACATCCAAAGCTACCAAGCAATGGAGGGGCAGGATAAAAGCAGAAGCAATCTCACCACAGTCGCTTCCGCTCTATTTGGAAAGGGAGTCAACGGGTTACAAGGGAAGCAGGGCTGAACAGGCTGAACAAGTCTGCCTGGCCTGCACCTCGCTCTACCATGAGACAGAGAAATTGGAAAGAAAATCAAAGGATGAGGTTTTTGATGATGTTCCCTCCTAACATGTCCTTCCAGCCACTGTCAGGACCTGCTCTCATCTTGCCCACGTAGTGGAGCTTTCATGACAATCCAGTGAAATATTTCTGACTGACTTACCTCAGTGCTAACTGCTTCATCTGAGGGATTAATCAGGACTACAGTTTCTAAGACGTCACTTCTGTGGTGAAGAATTTTTTGACCTGCAAGCACAGAGAGGAGAGAAAAAAAGAAAAGAAATTAAACTAAACCAGCCACCTAGCATCGTTTAAACCAGCACTTTCTATCAACTAGTTATATGTCCCACTGCGGGACAAATCTCAGATAGGTTACCCAGAGCAAAGCACACCAGCTGCAGTAACTGTTACTAGCTCGTGTGTTCAGAAACACCACCAGTATTTGGTCGAGTGGGGCAGAAAGGCCCCTCTAGAAATTCAAGGTAATGAAAACCAGCCAGCAGCAGCATGGGGGCCTGCCCCATCCTCCTGCCAGGAGATTCCCGGTCTCTCACTGCAGCCTCGCTGACTTGGTGTGGGCCGGGGCTCGTGTGACTTTTATGGACGTATCTGCTCCACCGATGCAGCTGAGGCTGCAGAATCGTGTAGCACAACCAGCTGGTTTTACTCGAGTTTTTCTAGAGCAGAGCATCTGCAGCAGCAGGAAAGCCGGCACGGGCAGCACACTTTCCCCCTGAGAAGCACAGTGAGTGCTGGGGCCTGATGCTGCCCCATCTGTCATCACTAGTAGGGGTGATCTGTGGGAGCAGGGCAGGGGACCCCAGCTGTCCTGGGGACCCGGCACCGCGCGGTGCACCCCTCCCCTGCGTGTTAGCTCAGACTCGCCTGGGGGGAGCCTCTGGAGCAAGCAGCCCCCACCCCAACCACAGGCCCTCACAGCTCCAACCATACCCGCTGAAGCGCCCTGGCGATACAGACCCACCCTGCCGAAACGCCACTTCCAGCCTCGCACCACCACTGCTTAATGTCGGGACCCTGTGAGAAACTCCTTATCGTGACAGTAGGATGCTCGCCACATCCCTCCACCGTACTGCTTGATCTTTCTGCTCTGCCACTTACAGAAACTGTAACAGGCAATGTTATACAACAAGAGCGAGCAGACGTACAAAATACGGTTAGTTCCTAAATGAATAACGTCTGGGTAATTTTTGCTGCAGCCTCACAGTCCATTGGCTTTCCTACTTGCTAGTTAGTCTGGCTCTGTATTTAATAGTGATATTCATCTGGCTGGGAGCGGATGCCAGAAAAACACAACAGGACTCTTGACATTCTTTTTCTTATGGTAATTGGCAAGTTCTTATCAGCGTCTCTTTCTGTGAGAACTGCAGTGAGATTAATTAGCAGCCGTATTGTCATGCAGAAACCCCGACTGGTAATTAGTACAAAAACCAGAATAGCTGTCTCTTCCAAGCAAACTGCTTGGTGTAATATTAATTAATTAAAATAATTAATTGCACTTAAAAGGAAGTACAAGGGACACAGAGCAAGTCACCTATTTGCCAACTTAGAAAAATCCCCCTGTAAAGAGACTTAAAATAACACCACCGATAATCGTAGTCATGAAAAGAGCTCTGCATT